ATGGCTTCTACTGTTTCGTCTAAGTTGCGGAAGTGATTCGTGATATCACCGGGCAAAGCCTGGTCCGTTCGATTGAGGAAGATCGTTTGCCAGCCGAAAATTTTCGGCGATTCGACATCATTTTCCCAGTCGTCGCCGATCAAAAGAACTTCCTCCGGGGCGACATTCAGCTGGGTGGTCGCCGACTCGTAGAAATGCTGGGAAGGTTTTACCCATCCCATTTCGGAAGAGATAAACAAGCGTAGATCGAACGTCGGGAAGTGATGGGCGACGATCGGCCGCAAGCGTTCGTCGAAGTTCGATGCTAGCCCCAAGCGAAAGCCAGCACCGACAAGCTTGGACTGGGCAGGGGAGACATCTGGAAAAACACGCCAATTCTGGGGATCCGCGAAATGGTCCCAAAGCTTCTCGAATAGACTGAGCTGCAAATGCTCTGGGGGATCGACCACATAGGTCACAATGGCCAACCATCGCTGACGCTCGGCTGCTTCGTCCGTTTGAAGCGGATCTGCTTGTCCCCGCGATGCCTGAAAGGCCTGAACACTGTACCGACGGATCGCTTCGCGAAATCGCGTTTTCAGTTGGTCGATATCACGAACTAGCCCTATAGAAAGGGCTGCGGATTGATAGGCCGCGGCGACCGAAGGAAATGGTTCGATCACCGTTCCGACCGCGTCCAGAAGAATCACCTTCGGACGCGGCATTGGTTTACCTGCTTCCCTCAGCGGACTAACCCCAAGGGAAGAAGCGGTTGATGTCGAGGAATATCACGGTGACCATCAATGTCAGCACCATGGCTAACCCTAAATAGGTCAGGCGAAGCATCCACTTCTCGTTCATCGCTTTGCCACGGATGCCTTCGTAAATCAGGAACATCATGTGACCGCCGTCGAGAACCGGAATCGGCAGGAAGTTCACCACCGCCAGGTTGGCACTGATCAACGTCAGGAAGGTCAGCAGTCGTGAAACGCCTCGAGAAGATTCGGCGGTGGCGACGTACAAAATCGTGCCTGGTCCGCCGAGTCCGCTGATCTGCATCTCGCCGGAGAAGATCTTGCGGATCACCATGACGACCTGATTCATCCCTTCGCCCACTTCACGGACGCCGAGGTAAAGCGAATCGCCAATGCTGGTCGCGTATTGAATCTTTTCTTCGATCTCAAATCGCAAGTAGCGGCTTTGAAGCATTTCCGTTTCGGAAAGACTGTTCTCGACGGAAACGTTTTTCGCGGCGCCGGTATCCTTCTTCTTGACCGTCAGGATCATCGCCGTATCGGGATGGGCGACTTGCAGTGTCCACTGCACGGCTTGCCAAGCGATTTCGTCCGTTTTGACTTTCACGTCCTTGGCACCGATCTTCATCTTCTCGTTGACCACTTTGGCCGCTTCGGTTGTGCCTTCAAAGCCAACGATGAGAATTTCGTCGCCGGCAGCGAGACCTGCTTCAGCGGCAGACGTGCCAGGCAGAACTTCTGCGATCGTGGTGGTCAAGTCGAACGTCAAGCCAAGCGTTTGGAGGCCGATTTCATAGCCGGGCATGTATTCCGAGGAAAAGCCCTGCGGGACGACCGTTTCAATCGAAAACGTTTCTTCATTGCCACTTCGCTCGATGACGACATCGACGGTATCGCCGGCCCATTTCGTTTCGCGACTAGGCAGTGTGTAACCGTCGCCAAGTGGTTCGCCGTTGATCGAAATCAACTTGTCGCCCACTTTCAGGCCTGCCTTTTCGGCTGGCGAGCCGGAACGAATCGCGCGGATAGGGCTGATCTCCATCACGAGACCGGTCTCGCGATAAGGCACCGTTGGAATTTCGACTTCCACTTCTTCGGTCGCTTCGGTGTCCCCTTCGCTTTCGACTTTGCGTTCGAGCTTCAGCTTTAATGCGTCGTAAGGGTGATTGGCGACATACTTCTGATAGTCGAGGAAGTTCTTGATCGGCTGATCGTTAATGCCAATCAGGTTATCGCCAGGTTTCATTTGGTCGGCGACTTCACTGCCGAAGACAATGCCCATCAATTCCGGGGCGATGACCATCTGCGTGGTGTACATCGGAGCGACGCCGATCGTCGGCCGCTTGGAATCCTTATAGGTATTCTTCGGCGTGATATCGATCACTTCCTTTTCGCCGTCGGCTCGCTGCACGACAAACGGCATTGGTTTGTCGTCGCCGTTCATGATGATCTGCAGCGTCATGTCTTTATCGAAGCGGAGATCCTTGCGGATGTCGCCTTGAGCGTTAAGACCGACGATTTCATCTCCAGGGCTGAGACCAACTTCCCACGCAGGCGAGCCGGGCTGAACCCAACTGATCTGA